TATGGCCACGAGTTCTAGTATTTAGACTAATATTGAAATAGTCATTTGGCTGAACGGCATCCAGACCCGTTAGAATCTTATAGACCTGAATCATATCCCCCCTTAGCCTCCTTTGCTCAAGGCTGAACAGATTCAGTTCCGCTAACCTCTCCTCGTAAGACATTCCTCTAAGAGCAGTGTTGTGTGTTAGTACTGTAATTAAATTACTTTTCCACTGAAAAAGTAGAGTAACTGATTACTGTTCATTTGTAGGTATTTTAACTACAGTTACTTGTAATGTACTTGCGTTACATTGAAAAATAATTAAACTCGCTGAATATCATTATTTAATTTTATTAATTTATCTTCTAAAGGTAAAAGTAAACTCTGCCGCTTTAAAATCGTTGTAGTGCAGGTGCACGTGATTTCGCGCCAGTTATAGTCTTGTATAGTCCTATTCTAAAGCGGAAGATGTCGGACTCGGCTGAAGCGAGTGGCTGTTTTAAAAAATGGAAATATTCCCATCACTTCAGTTTCCTGAAACAAGCAGACAAGAACATTACTGTACTATGTAAGCTATGTCCTGGGGAGAAAAATAGCACGGCCGCTGTCAATAGCACGAGAAATCTACTGAAACACCTGACACGGCAGCACAGACGAACACTTCTGAGTGATCCTTGTTCATCATCGACGGATAACACAGCGGCAACTCCTGCTAAGCAGGCAAAACTTGATTTTACTTTGGCAGTGCAGAAAGTGTCTGAAGGTGAGCTTAAAAAATGATTGCAGGTTACATTGTGGAAGAGATGCTACCGCTGCGTACTGTAGAATCTCCGTCTTTTAGGTGCATATTAAACAAAATACCTGTGTGTGGCAAAAAAGCAGCACTGCCTGATCGAAAAATGTTTTCGACGAGTGTTATGCTGACATGGAAATGGAGCTTAAAGGGAAATTCGAGAGTTTGCAATATATTTCCACGACTGCTGACATTTGGACCAGCCATAACAAAAGTTTTCTCGGAATGATGGCACATTGGATTGATCCTTCTACTTTTGTACGAGGACATGCAGCACTAGCATGTAAAAGAGTGCGAGGGAGACACACATATGATGTAATCGGCAATGAAATCGAGCAAGTACATTCGGCTTATGGACTGAACTCTAAAGTGACAGCCACCGTGACAGACAACGGGTCCAATTTTATCAAAGCTTTTAGAATGTTCCAAAAATCAGACTCTGATGAGGAATCCGAAGAAGATGAAGAGGTGACATTTACTGATGTTGAGCAGACCCTCTCCACAGAATCAGAAGGACAGTTTTCTCTCCCTCCACACTTAAGGTGTGCATCACACACACTGAACTTAATTTTTCATGATGTCGAGAAATGGCTTCAAGCAAATGAGTCAAAATTCATCTACCGAAGTGCAACTTCAAAGT